CTACTAGCTCGGGCTTATCCTCCCCATCGATCTCAACCACGATGTGTTGCGCGTGGCCTTCCTGCGCGCACACTTTGCCCCAATCACCCGAACTCACCATGGTGTACTCGGCGTCGGTCTCCTTCTCGTACGACTTCCTCTCTCGGTTCTCCTCGTCCGTGAACTCATCGGCGAACAAAGGTTCCTCGCACTCGACTTGGTCGACCTCACACTCGACCGCCTTGTCTTCAACATAGCCTGGTAGATCAAATGTAAATAAGGGGTCTCCTTCGATGACCTCCTCCATGATCTTGAGTTGTCGTTCGAGCTTCTCCTTTTGCTCGTACATCTCCTCCAAATATTCTTGCTCCCAAGGGGTTAATTCCCTCTCCAAACCTTCGAGATACTCAAGATCTTCCCAATCCAACTCAACTAATGGTGGGTAAGACATTCTTTTTTTTTTTTACTCTAAAAATTCGAACAAAATTCGAACCAAAAATAAAATAAACAAGAGAAATTCGGCCCCTCAACAAAAGGTAATAACCGAACAAAAATCAAACAAAGGACTTAACAAGATGACACTTTTTTTTTAAGACTTAAATTCGAAAAATAAATGAAAAATTCAAATAGAAATTCGAAAATTTCGAACCAAAAAGAGTAAAACTTCAGCCCCCTCAGCAAAAAGCAAAACCGAAAAAAGAAAAAGATATATAGATAAAGAACACGATCAGCGCCTCTCAATGAAAGCACCAATGATGACGGATCGTGTCTTTACTCTATATGGTTGTGAACAAACGGCGCACTCAAAGCCTTCGTTTATCCACGATAGGTGTATCTAACAGACGCACTACGGCCTTCTCCTAGATACCGTGACTTCAAGACGCTCTAATGGCCTTCTCTCCGACACTGTATGTAAACACGCACTAACGGCCTTGTTTAAACACACGTTAAGAACATCAGTTCCCCCTCAAGATTGGCTCACCAATTCAATACTTCATTCAAGACATATAATTATGATGAGGTACATGGGGTATTTATAGGTGCAAAATAAATCT